ATTGACTCCCGCCCACCCGGGGCAAAGGATATTCAACCGGCCCCCCGGGCGCGAGCTAAAGGGAGTATGCCACTTTTTTGTACTTTTCACTCATTGTTAGCTCATGCGCGTGCGATTTGATCAGTACACCAGCTTTCTCAAAATTCTTCTGAATAGCTCAGAATTTAGATTTGAAGTAGCCGATGCCGAGGGAGAAATCTCACTAGACTTCCTGTTCCCTACTATGAAGGAAATACGTTTCGTTTCCTTTGCTTCTTGCACGTGTTTGCTCTGTAATGTTTGTAGCACATTAATTTGTCAAAATGTTGGTGTAATCAATGTTACGAACGCTTGAAACGCTCTGTTTAGACAAAAAAAAAAAACACTTGTGGACATGAAGTTATAATCCCGAAAATTTGTCAGGAATGGTGCCCGGCACTGACAACATAGATAATCATCATAAATGATTACCGGCACACAGGACGTGACCCGGAAAACTTTCAGAGCATAATCAGATGGAGAATCTTTTTTTTCGCTATGCATAACCGGAACCCACGGGTAGGCTGGGACCCCTAGCTGCGCATGTCGCGTGGGATACGAAAGTGGGTGATGATATCCGGGATTGCCAATCACAAATGGATAATTTCCGTGGACAGTTCTCGAAGAGACAATTATCCGTTGAATAACTTCCCTGAGCCGCACGCGCCCTAGGTTTTTGGTGCGCCACAACGCAACTCGCGGGAAGGGTCTAAAAAACTGGCATTTGACGCAGACTCGCAAGTTTTCCGAAACGGCTCGTCCGATCGCCTTAAAGCTTTCAACAATTGATTTCGTGGAATGAGGTGAGTCGAGAGAGGCAATACTGAGACCTGACCTGAGTTGAATCACCTCGAAAACGCAAAAATAAAATTTTACATGCAAATGTAGACGACTCAGATCTGAGATACTAATGGACCAATCACTATGAAACCTTCACCATTGGACGCCCCATACCTGATTCCGCTTTGAATTTCAAAATGTGGTGACCCTAGGTCCGGTCAAGAGTCGTCAAGTCTCACAAAGTCCAAAATTCTTGCTTGCGGATAATTTATGGCTCAGGACTTACTGAGCCCATCACTGCCAAACCGTTACCCGGGAATGCTCCACACCTAATTCCCTGTTGCAGGTTCCGTATATGGTGACACTATGTCAGGTCGAAGGCCGTCAAATTTTACAAAGTCCAAAGTTCTTGCTTGCAGACAACTTATGGCTCAGAACCTACCGAACTGATCAAGGGTCACCAAATTTGGAACTGCAGCAGGTTATCGGACATGGGCATCCAATGATTCCACAGTAGGGTGTGTCATCAGTAACAAAATCAAGTGAGACAAATAAATTATTTGGCGCAGGAGTCCAAAAGTACCCGGCATAGCAAAAGTTCTTCCCCAAAACTTAAATTCGTCATGCGTGAGTCGATCGAAATATCGCCGTAAACCGACGCCTGGCGTTGCAGTCACCCAATGCTGGGCGTCGACCGCCGCCGCAGGTAACACCAAGCCGTGGGCGGCACGCGACACAAAATACCTTTGCGTATAGAAACGATGCTACCGGGTATTCCTTCAGCTGTCGTGCGGGAATGTCTTGGTCAGAGGTCTAATGGTCTAATATGCAGATCAGACATTGCCCAAATGATTATCCTCTGGCGGAAGCTTTATGTGTTGCTGAGTATGAACTTGTTGCACGAATCTGCTGGTTAGTAATGCTTTAAACTTGTACTTCTCTAAGACAACTCATGTGATGCAAACAAAACTATGCATAGCATATGACTCAGAATATATTGTCCGCTTTACAACTTAATACATACAGCAAATTCTGCACCCTGTACCACGGACGTAGAAAGGGGGGTGGGGGGGGGGGGGGGGGCGGTAGGGTGACTCCATGCACAGGTTGCTCCTTGCCAAGCCTGTGTATTCGATACACCAGCCCAAGCAGCAACTGATTACAGACGGGAAACCCAAAACGCGTGTTGGCAGAGATCCCACGGTAGCAGAAATACATTCGCAGCTGGGCTCTACATACTGCTTAAGCTCCAGCTCCAGCCGTAGACGCCCTCGGCAGTGTGGCGCTGCGTCACACTCCTAGTGTGAACCAGATAGGGCAAGATGGCCAGCGGTATCTGCACTTCGTTCCGCAGCTCGCAGTCGCTGAATTCTCGCAGTGGAGGCTACTTGACTGGTCCGTGCCAGGGAATCTGTTCGTTGTACCCCACGGCATCGAAGTTTACCGCTGAGGTAGCGAACCCCTGGGATGAAAAAGATCCTCGGTTTGCCGCTTACGAGCGGCGCGACGATCGGAACCGCCTGTTCGCGGACCATGCGGTTCTCATCCTACACCATGTCAAGCAGCAGCTGTTCCGGACGGACCCAGTACCCGTTACTCTGGAGGACCGGCTGCACCGTGGCCTATGTGTGCTGCGGCAAGTCGCGGAGCAGCGCGATGCTCCGGAACAAGTTGCGTAAGCCAGAGTCGCAGCCGCTGTTTTGCCGGATGGCGGACCATACCGACACATACTGGCCGACCACGCACTGGATGAGGTCCTTGAGAGCGCTGCTGGAGGTCTCGGTAGGGATGTGAACTAGCAGCAGACGAGTGGCCAGTGTCAGCCATCTGAAAACAAAAGCGAATATATTAGAACAATTTGCTACGAACTGAGCATTAGATCATACAAAAATAATTGCGCCTCTTTAGTGCATGTAACAACAAATATGCTAGTAAGCATGAACCAACCAGCAAGTGATGCGACATACTACGGCACAAGGTATGACGATAAGTAAATGCTCAACAGCGAGCACGTGAAATATCAACTGATAATTGATGATATTTTAACACTCATTGCTATCTATTCGAATATAGTGCGTTTTCATATTTACCTGACAGGGTTCGATGGTCCGATTCGCCGCTGGACTACCACGTTTCGGACAGAGCCGTTTTGAATGCCGGGGGCAGAAGGTACAGCAGCTGTTGGTTGGTGCTCAGCTGCTGAATCAGGTCGACCGGCAGGTTTGGCACGTGCCCCGACCTAGGCCTGGATGCCACAGCGCCCCTCTCCCAGACCTCTCCGGCACAAGTCTTGCCGATGGGTCCAGAAAAATCTCCATCCCGTGGTCGTGTCGTCCAAGCTCAGCAGCAGATGGAGGAGGTTCAGCTTGTTGCCGTGCAGCTGGCAGATGAACCAGTCTACGGGTGACATGATGGCCAGCTCAAACAGCCGGAACACGTCGCCTATCGTTTCAGTGCTGACGGACGTGCCATCGCAGCCGAGCACCTTCATGTGACCGTCGCACTGCGAGCTCACGGAGCGCAGCTCGTTGAACAAGTGCAGGGCGCGGCCGAACTCGACGTAGAAGGAGTCACGTAGCGGCTGCCTGGCTCAGTGATGGCAACCACGTGTTTCTCGACGGCATTCGTCTGGCTCCGTGAGGCTCATGTAGCCCCTGCTTTCGCGGCCGCCGGAGTAAAGGATAATCAAACATGACTCGTGGATTGCTTCAAAATTTTAACGAGTCGTCTCCTTTCCCACTCTGTCTCTTGCGCAGCAGATCTTAGGATCTACGAGATTTGATTTCAAGTAGCCAGTCCGTCTCTGCTGTCTTGTTGAAAGGCGTTGATGATAGCAAGCAGCGGCCCGGTTCGAGCCATCGTAGCTGTTAAACGCCAGAGCGGTGTCAGTCAGATCGTTGACGTTAAAGCCTACATTGACTGGTCTCAGCCGGAATGAACAATCGGCGTCATTGCCACCTTCTATCCTGTACGGAACCACGTAAGAATCCGTGCTCTCGGCTGAATCGCCAGCGCTGAGACCACCTGGTCCCGGAGCAGGCTCGGGGTTAGCACTAGCAGCCAGGGCTGGCTCAGCAGGCGGCGAGGGCTCAGCAGTCGGCGAAGAAGGCGACTCAGGTTCAGCAGCAGACACCACCTCACTGGCGGCCGAGCCATGACGCCCTTGAAGTTGTCTGACCATCCTCCGCACCTCGCGTTGCCGTGTCACTCCCTTTCTTTCTTTGCTTTCTTACTGATAGCTCTGTTGGGATGAAATAAATCCCTCTCGATCAATTTTGTCACGTATTTTAGATCATGGACAGGGATGGCTTCATTAGTCCACGGTGCCCTGATTTCTACCATCGCGGTCTTGAAGATGGTTTTAGTGAGATTCTTCTTCGATTCGCTCAGACACCTGATGTAGCTCAATGCTTTCCCGTAGTCGGCAGTTGGTGCTGGGATAGTAGAGCTGAGTGGCCTATCACAAAATGTTTTGTGTCCGACGGTGTAGCCTTCGGCGTGCTAATGCAAGCAGTTGTTCGAAAGGAATACTTCACTACCAGCAAAACTTAACTAATAAACCCATATCTCACACGCAAAAAGCACATGAACTGCGAATCAACATAACAATTATGCGTTAGCAATGACAAACTTGAACATAGCCCGGTCTACTGGAGCATTATCATAACTGCACAGCGTTGGATTTTACCAAAAAATAATGTTATTCACCAAAAAGTCAGTTTAAAAGCTGTTTAGCGATGTTTTACTGGTACTCTTCACGATATCTATTTCATACTTAATCCACCAAGTACCATTGGTGTGGAAAGCGACAGCTTTGAGGCTTGTTGGAGAGTGATACCAGTGAGTAAAATAGGTGGCGCTAGTATTACATACGGTTTTCTTGGCCTATCAAAGAAAAACTGCTCTCGCCTCACGAACATCAACATTGGTGCGGCGCAACAGAGCCGGAAGCTTATCACTAATCCGTGTGCCAAAAAAACTTTGTCTCAGCTGATTCCAAGAGATTCACCCCCTCTATGACACACCTTATTCCACATTGATGGGTCCAGTCGACTCTGAGATCTTAGTTGTCTGCATTCGCATGTAAAATTATCATTTCGTGTTTTCGAGATGTCTCATCTCCCGCCAGGTCACGATATTACCTTGTTATGACTCAGCGCATTGTACGGAATCGATTGGTGAGGGTTTCAAGGCGATCGGACGAGTCGTTTCGGAAAACTTGCGTGTTTACACCATACGCCAGTTTTTTAGACCCTGCCCCAATTCGCGGACCGTCGTCCATCGCCTTGCCCTTGACGGCTGAAGACGGGTGGGAGGCCGGTGAGTCGGTGGTGTAAGACTGGTGGAATCGTTAGTAATGCTCGTATTTATCAGTGTGAACTGCCCATTATACAGTTTTATTCTCATGACACGGTCTAAATCCTTTGATTGTGCTGTATATTCGGTGGAGAACACACCTGCGGTGAATATGTGTGACATACCGTGATGGTCATGGTGAATGTCTGTGATTACAGAAATTGGGTCGCACAATTTGATACCAAGGTCTGAAAATGCAAGGTCTTGATTGTTTCAATCCACAGGTTCTCTGAGCCAGCATGCAAATGTTTGTTTGGCTCTTGGGGAGTGAGAAAAAAAGCTGAAATATTTGCTTGTAATGAGAACCAAAAAGCCCATGTGAAATTGTGCTGTGAACACAGCTGGTGCTGTAGGACATTCCTTAGCAATTGTTGACAGTATGTACCATATGCTAGCTGTTCTCAGTGATTGTATTGAAGATTGGTGGCCTGTTATCCTGTAAGTTTCTGGGTTCCCATGTAAGTGCTTTCTTCTTAGCAGTATGCTCTCACATGCTATACTTTTTGAAACTATGCAGCACATATGAAGCTGTTTGTATTGACAGTTTTGTTTTTAAAGGTATGAGCATCAGTCAAGGCCATTAGTGCAGTTATCTTTCAGCTAAGGTAGTATTTTCTCAAGTGATGCCTTGAGCACCATCAAACTAGTAGGCTTGGTGCTTTTTCATTTAACAAATTTTATGTTCCATTTTTATTTTTATGCACAGATTTTTAACATACTTGCCAGAACCAGCAAAATTTCCAAGGCAGCATGAAAGGAAAGGTTCCACATTTTAAGATTTTGAAGCATCAGATATAGTGCAGTAAGCTCACTTATAGCTAATGGGATACTTTTTAAGTGGTGCAGGCTGCAGTAGATAACACAGTTTTTTTATTAAAGATTCTCACCACTATGACATTGTTTAACAGTGTCATGATACCTTACCCAGGATTGATTGAGGGCTAATTGATGCCTGAAACTGTGAAACACAGAAACTGTGCCCACAAATGGCAGATATAGATAGCTCATTGCTTCATATTATATTTTTTATGTCTTTGTTTGCTGCATGCACAATAGAATGACAGTGCCATGGTTGCAGGGGTTACTTGGAAACAGTCTGCACAAAATAACATGCACACCTTTGCAGTCTTGTAGCTCAGAAACTAGAGGGACTTACATCTTACAGGGAGCAGGGCTGTGAACTGCACTGAATTATGTGCAGATGATTATTTCATTCCAAGACCACATATAAATGTAGAGCACACCCTTTAAAAGGGGGTGTTTCACTTTTGAAGGCAATGAAAGAAGCATCAGACAATGAAATAAGCTCACCTATAACTATTGGTAAACTTTTAGATGCAAAAGGCTCCATGAGGCAGCACAATTCCTGTGTTTAGTAGATATCTTCTGTCATACAGCATTGCTCAATTATGTTGTTGTACCCAGTACAACATTGAGAGCCAATGGATGACTGTCATATCTAGAAATCATACTCATGAATGCCAGATATGAACAAATATATTTTTTGGTTGCTCTTGCATGCATGATGCCTGCAACCTGGTGTGACTTGTAGTGGCCAATGCTGTTTGGTTTTAGGGAAACTGTGACCCAGGCCATGGCTGTCCTTGCTTCCGAGATTTTGGGCATGCAGGCTCAAGCCTTTTGATGTGGCTTGTCTCACTAGTGATTCTGCAAAAGAAGAAATGTACATAGGCAAACATGGAATGACCCTGTTTATTTTTTAACTCACCTCGACCTCAACCCACTCTATTCAGCCCTAAGGATGCCCCTCAGTTCTTTCTGGGCAAGGAGCCAGCTTATGTAGAACACTAGGGGGCACATTATTCTTCCTGGTCAAAGGCTGGAAGGTCATTCCATCCCACCCAGGTTGTCTTCTGGCTGCCTTCCTGGCGACATGGGGCGGGATCCCTTGGTCGATCTGGGGGCCCTTAGAGGGATGCATCATACCATATTGGTCCCATCCTTGATGCGGGAGGCCTTCTGACCCACGCAGTTGGGCCTCGGATCGGCGCAGGAATCCTCATTGACGCAGCAGCATCCCTGATAGCTGCAGGCGGTCCAATCATTGGCTCTTGTGAGCCCCAGTTAATCTCAGTGGGCCCGTGCTGGAATTGGGTTTGGTGGGCCCACCATTTGGTACGACAGGCCCTGACTGACACAGGAGCCTTCCATTGCCTCAACATGAACACTCATCAAGTTCTCATGTTTCCGTACATTTTCAGAGTGCCCCAACCAACGCAAAAGGCCCCCTGTCATTTGGGGTCTGTGCCGCGCCCCTGCTGAGCAAACATTCCCATGACCGGTTTGAGGCCCCATGTTAACACCGAGCACCCTGTTGGGCACTGGGCCCCTAACCAGTACAGGAGCCCCACACTTTCAGCGTCCCCGACCAATGTAAATCGCGGGCCCAGTCCTTGTCCCTGCTTTGGAAATGGGCCCTAAAGCTCAGACCGCCACAGAGCCGTTTGTCCGGCGCTGGTAATCTCCAGCCGAGGAGCCCCTCATTGTGTCAGGGACCCTGAGCAGTGACGAATCGTGGGCCTCGACCTCGTTCTTGCTTGAGAAGTGGGTTCTAAGGGCTCGGACAGACGTGGAGCCGACTGTTTGGCTCCTTGGGGAGGCCATGTATGATAAGGATAAAGAACCCTGATAAAGGGACCCTAATGGAAGCCCTCTGACTGACGTTTCAAATCACGGCACCACAGGGGCCGAGCCGGAGTCCAGTCGGGTCTGTAATCTGTGGTCCCGAGGCGCGACGTTCGGGGGCCTCGTCGGGCCCCCACGGAGACAGCTCCTGGCGACTCGGGGCCACTTGCAGACACAGAACTCGCTGTTAAGACACTGTGAGCTCCTGACATGCACACAGGCCCCAACCATTGTATCAGACAACTAGACCAATGCAAACGTGGCCTCCGGCGTTGCTCCTGCTTGGAAAATGTCCCTCCCCCCCACAAGGGCTCAAACTGACGGGAAGCCCCCTGTTCAATTGTTCGTGGTCTCTGGCCGATTCAGAAACCCACATTGTCTCAGAGATCCTCGAACGATGCAAGAGGATCTCTGACGAATACTTCGGGTCATGACTCTACAGGCCGGGATTCTTTATGTGACCTACAGTTACCTCTTCAGCTCCTTATGCACTCCAACCAGATCCTTGATCGTGGTTCCGTTAGGCTGCCCGGCCCCTCTTCGGGCCTCATCGAACACTGCCTCTGGCCGACTGAGGCTCCCTTGCCAACACAGGGTCCCCATTAGGCGCTGTGGTGCACTGGCAGACGCTGGTCTCCGATCGGCGCAAAAGGCCCTCTGACATGCAGGGCCCTTTGGCTGGCATCAGAATGCTCGGCCCCGCGAGCTGGGGCCTCTCCATGCGACCTCGGGCGGGCCTTACGGGCGCTCAAATTGGGCCCATTGTGATAGGTCCCGAGGGGGCCGAAGGAATCTCGGAACCTAAGGGTGGGGAAGGGGGGGGGGACACGCGCCCCTCTGTCCCCGCCTGCGCTACTGCTCACACAGGCACTGCCTAACATGAGCTCTGGCCACAGAAATTCGTCCATTAAAAAGCTTCTGGCAAAATCTTCACTACTGAAAAATGGCAGTGATGTTCTCTTCTGTTTTATGATGCTACAAGGCCATATATGAGTTTTCGTCAAGAGAAATAATGAGATTGGGTATGGTATTACTGTTCTTTTTGAAGTTACAGAGTCTTGCTATTCAAGGAGATATGTCTGTTGTATCCAGTTTGATAGCTAAATAAACAACAAAAAAAGATCAAAATTGCTTGATTTGTGGCCTGATAGCCTTAAATTATTTGATGAACGTGATTTGCGTGATAACTAGTCTGCCATCTTACTCTGCCCTGTGCACGACCATGTTGCAAACCAACTGGATTGATGCTATTCACATACATTTTGTTTCCTGTTGCCAGATTGCTGCAACCTGCCTTCTGCAGCATACAGCACACAGTGAAACATGATTACCTCAAGGATCGCCAGCTCCTTGTGGGCACAGCCCCTGAGGCAGGTGAGTGACGCGGTCAGAAGGTGGCTTAATCCCTGATTGCAGTAATTCTGTTGCCTTTGATATAGCTATGTTATTAGCATACTGGCAAAGATGCTTAGTTGGGGGATTTTGACTTAAATCCATAGTGTTGCATGAGTATGAACAGTCAATGTTGTGATCTGGTGCTTATTTTTTTCTGGTGTGGTATTATGACCACCATAGCTTATTATGGATGTATTTGTTACTAGCTTCCTATATAACCATATTTTCCATTGGTCAATATGTGAATATGAAGCTATTTTTCATGGCTGACTATCTGCATTGCAAATAGCGACAAGTAACACACTTTTTGTACCGGGCATTTATGTGAGGCTGGTTGCCTCTGGTTACTGTCAAGTCCTCTGTCAATATGAGGAAGATGGCCCAACAGTCATATAGTAGTATGGTGGCTGTTGTATGTTATGGTAGTATCATTGTTCAGCATAAACATGTCTGTTGTGTAGTTCATGTTAGTGCATTTTTTTGGTAGCTTTTTGTTCACAATGTCCAGGGTACCATGTCATTAATACTGCTTGATAAAGTGCTCTGATATCTAGCCAGTATGTGTTCAGAATGCATGAATAATAAGGATTTCACCCCCGTCAGCACAGTACCTATTCGAACTTGACATCCAGATGCTGAAGCAGCAATTCACTCAAATGCTCCCCAAAATACCTGATATCATCTGTTGATGTGTTAACAGGTGACTCACATTTGCGAGGTAAAGCAGATGGAGCTGAGAGCCTATATGTTGAGGCCCTTGTTTGAGTCCCAGAAGGAAAACAAACTGTCTGCAATGCTGATACACCATGACCACACAGGACTGCTCTAAAGCTCAACTTAATGTTCGGATCTTACTCCCAGCTTGGTGGGCCCAGTTTATTACCCCCAGTTGAGTTGCTACCAATGTGACCTACCATGCAGCTGAACCCCCAGAAAGCACATGGAAGCCGAGGTTTTGGTCCCTGTGTCCCTAAGATAGCAAACTATCCTAATAGCTGTAGCGAACTCAAGACAACTGGATAGCATGTAAAGGTCATTGTTGGAGCCTGTAACTACCATCAGTCATGCGGCTGACCTTGTGACATTGTGGATGACCTTGAGCAACTCTTGTGGCAGTCAGAGGCTGAGTACAGTGACGAAGACCACTCCCGGGAGGAGTCTGCGCTGGCTTTTACCGTATTAAATCACATCACGCGACTCCCACTCCGGACTCCAAAACACCCGTTGGTCGGCTTTGATTTGTGTCTGCACGGATGGATGGGAAACGCGAGTCCTCGGAAAATGTTGAAGAGCGAAGGTTGGCCAACTGCGCTAAAAATGATAGTGGACAGCCAAAAAGCTTTCGATGCATTCGGCAGTCTGGAGGCGGCCCGAGCTCTCAGCGTAGTGAAGGGGCCTGCAGTTCGCTATTCCCGTGGCCAGATGCTGCGGAGGCGCGGGAGCGGGACCTGCGAAGGACCCCGAAGGACCAGTCGCCGTCGGTCTAGTGTGCGGAGCTGTGACCGGAGGCATACCCGCAGCCGTGTAACGGTCCATTGTGCACAAATGCCATCGCAGGCGCGCTACAGCCCAGTGTACTGTGTAGCCTCCCAGTGTGCGGAGCTGTAGTGCCAGGTAGACCACAGTGCCTGCGTAGCGACCATTGCGCGGAGCTGTGACCTGAGGGACACCCCAGTCCGTGTGTAACGATCCGTTGTGCATAGTGGCCACCTGAGGTCCACCACAGCCCAGTGTACTGCGTATGTGCGACGCCGTGTGTGAAGTCGCGCTCCTGTTGCCGCCAGCTCGCCTCGTGGAAGACGCCCGACTTTGGCTATGGCGACTTTGTGGAGTCATCACTGGTAGCTCGGTGTCGTGCTGCGATAGAGTGGCCGCTCGCGGCGCATCGCTTAGGTTTTGTAGATACGCACATCGCAGCCTGTTATGTTCGCATCTTATGTATGAAGCACGTCGGCGGATGTTGCTACATGCTTTGCCACGGCCTTATTCGTGCTGGACTGGCCTTCGATCATCCACAACGGCCGGCCGATGGCCATCGTAGGTCACACAGCCGCTGCAGGTCATGCACTGCGCTCTACTGCGCCCTGCGATGCAAGGCCATGTTCCCACCAAGTCAGCCTGGAGCGGTGGCATGTGCCGCGCATGGGATGCACCGTTCACTAGCGATTTGTTTTACCTTTGAGCCGTTGTGCATTCACATTGGAGGTTAAGACGTGCGGCATGGATGTGTCCTCTCATGCTCATCCTTTTCACACTGACGCTGCCGTAATTGTCGTTTTTGAGCTGGTTGACACGCCGTTGGGACCAACCACGCTTTGCTTGTTGGCATGTGTACGATTACTGTTGTAGCCGTTTTAATCTGTTTGATTAGCGAGAGAGTCAACCTCGCGACGGCTGTGTCCTCCCAGGGGTGTAGCTGCATATTAAGGGCACAGTGGTGGTCCGAAACTAATTTGGCTTAGGCGGGATATAATTCGCTTTGGTGCTGCTTTATATGAGCAACAGTCGAATGGCCCAATACGCGCCGACCCCAGTGGGACGCGGACACCGCCGACCGCCGGCAGTGGTAGTTTCGCAGATGACTCGCGCCGTCTGCGACTATCCAGGACGTGGGGCGGCTGAACTCTTGCGTGCAGGGAAGCTCTGCCAGTCTGCTACATGTATCCATAGCCACATCGGTGTGAGGGTGTTCGGTGAGACCGGCCAAGGCAGCGCCGGATCATGTTGGTGCATGCGCTCACACAAGCGCCCTGCTAGGGCTGGCAGGGTTAGCCGTTTGACCTCAGAATTGCTTCGGAACATCCTGCGGACTTTGAGAAACAGTGCCATCAAAACTTGACGCAACCTTTGACGTCATTTCAGCGTTTTAGGCTCAGCGTTTGATTCGGCGCGACCTCTGGCAGGGAGCCCTCATGTGAAGGGTTCAGTATAGCAAGGACGAGGCACACAGCGTCACTTGTTTCCGAAATGATGCAGACAGCGAGCATACGAACTCATGCTTTACTTTGCTTGAGTAACCTGAACCAATTCATTACCAGTGAGATTTGCGTCAAGGCGCTCGTTTTGCACCTGCATTGATTATGCGTTTGATACCGCGCAGCGGTGTGAAGCTCGGCTCTACGAGCCAATTTACAACCGTCAATCAGTGGGTACACGTCGTAAATAGAGCAGCTCGCGCCGGACGAGAATGTTTAGTGTTAACGTGTTTTTAATGTCAAGTGTGTACGCCCTACGCACTGCGTTCCTGACTGGCCAAAACAGCCCGCACAATAAGCCGTGAGGCGCCCGTGAGAAAAGGGGCTGCACACGTCCCCACCGGCCGAGCGCGACACCAGATCTTGTCAGTGGAAGGATGGAGGCCGGACTGCCGTGGTGCGCGGCAGGGGGCGGTGACAGCGGTGGGGCAGGGGGGCCGTGTGTGGGCGCGGGCGGCCATGGATCGGCGGTGACGCGCCCGGTCTGTTCCAGAAACTCGTCTCTCCCCTGGTGTCCGCTTCCAAGAGCCTCAGCACGGAGGCCACCTTCGAGACGAAGGTACGAACTTTTATGATGAAGAGACAGTGACGATATATATATATATATATATATATATATATATATATATATATATATACGCGTGCGTGCGTGCGTGCGTGCGTGCGTGTGTGCGTGTGTATGTGTGTATGTATGTTTGTTTGTATATATGCATCTATTGCTTCCTTTCGGCCATCCACCGTGAAGCGTGGCTATTACGGACCCGTGATTCTTACAGGAGATAAAGCATGCAGATGCAAAACATGTAACACAGACACCATTCAGCGACTACCAATAGCATTATCGCTCGACAGGTGCGCTCGCACCGCGCGATGCGCGCACTTAGCCGGGCCACTTGTTTGACCTCTGTTTAATCTTATGATTATGGTTATTACGTACGCGCAGCAGCGTTGTTATCTTTTACTATTGTTATGTCCTCACTTCGTGGAAGGCCGCGGGCATAGCAGTGCTGAAGCACACGGTTTTTGTTTCGCTTCTACCAAGCTTTTGTCGTGGCATGTGTTGCCTTGTACGTTCACTGAATATCTAGCTGAATAATTTTCTATAAAAAATGAGCGGTGGTTCGCTGACGTTTTCTGGGCGTAATGTCTGGTGCGGAGGACCGTCCTGCCCGCCAGGAGTCGTCTCTCCCCAGTGATTGCTCGGATAAATTCGTCATGTATGGTGCCATGTCGCCAAAGTAGCACAGCATGCCGCCTGATGGGCCTGGGGATGCCACGGGGTACCTCCATCCGCTGTCCCTGGGATGTCCCGGGGTGCCTCCATCCGCTGTCCCTGGGATGCCACGGGGTGCCTCATCCGCTGTCCCTGGGATGCCACGGGGTGCCTCCATCCGCTGTCCCTGGGATGTCACGGGGTGCCTCCATCGGCTGTCCCTGGGATGTCACGGGGTGCCTTCATCGGCTGTCCCTGGGATGCCACGGGGTGCCTCCATCGGCTGTCCCTGGGATGTCACGGTGTGCCTCCATCGGGTGTCCCTGGGATGTCACGGTGTGCCTCCATCGGGTCCTGTCCCAGGGATGTCACGGGGTACCTCCATCCGCTGTCCCTGGGATGTCACGGGGTGCCTCCATCCGCTGTCCCTGGGATGCCACGGGTACCTCCATCCGCTGTCCCTGGGATGTCACGGGGTACCTCCATCCGCTGTCCCTGGATGTCACGGGGTACCTCCATCCGCTGTCCCTGGGATGCCACGGGGTGCCTCCATCCGCTGTCCCTGGGATGTCACGGGGTACCTTCATCGGCTGTCCCTGGGATGTCACGGGGTGCCTCCATCCGCTGTCCCTAGGATGCCACGGGGTGCCTCCATCGGCTGTCCCTGGGATGCCACGGTGTGCCTCCATCGGCTGTCCCTGGGATGCCACGGGGTGCCTCCATCCGCTGTCCCTGGGATGCCACAGGGTGCCTCCATCCGCTGTCCCTGGGATGTCACGGTGTGCCTCCATCGGCTGTCCCTGGGATGCCACGGGGTGCCTCCATCGGCTGTCCCTGGGATGCCCCAGGGTGCCTCCATCCGCTGTCCCTGGGATGCCACGGGGTACCTCCATCCGCTGTCCCTGGGATGCCAGGTGCCTCCATCCGCTGTCCCTGGGATGCCACAGGGTGCCTCCATCCGCTGTCCCTGGGATGCCCCGGGGTGCCTCCATCCGCTGTCCCTGGGATGCCCCGGGGTGCCTCCATCCGCTGTCCCTGGGATGCCACGGGGTGCCTCCATCCGCTGTCCCTGGGATGCCACGGGGTGCCTCCATCGGCTGTCCCTGGGATGCCCCGGGGTGCCTTCATCCGCTGTCCCTGGGATGTCACGGGGTGCCTTCATCCGCTGTCCCTGGGATGCCACGGGGTGCCTCCATCGGCTGTCCCTGGGATGCCCCGGGGTGCCTCATCCGCTGTCCCTGGGATGCCACGGGGTGCCTTCATCCGCTGGTCCTGGGATGCCACGGGGTGCTTCCATCCGCTGTCCCTGGGATGCCACGGGGTGCCTTCATACGCTCCAGATGGCGGACAGTGTGAAGAACAGCTGCTCGGTGGGCACGGCATTGCCTTCCGGCCGTTCATGTTTGGGTTAGATTCGCATCACAGCGTGCTGTGAACCGTTCTTTTTTAAGAATGCGCGTTCCGATGTCTTCAGAATGTTTTGGGATGCAGTAAATGGGGAGCATTACTTTCATAGTGATGGGAATAGAGCCTATGAGATTTCTCCCGCTGGAGCGGCAAATTAAAATACATATTTGAAAATATTCAGAGAGATTTCGAGAAAACTAGTGTTACCGATGAAATCACGCGCGTCTGATCTGACAAGAAGCGAAAAGTTAAAAAGCGTGGGCCTAAAATCCCTTTAAAGGCAGGTCGGTGGCACAGAATTGCATTTTGTCATGTCCATTATCAAACGCTTGTGACTTCCGCGCCTGTACCTTTGCTTTGTAACACATGATCAGGAAGGGGCCGCGGACTCAGAGACTCCAGTCCGTTTTAGTTGCCATTCCAACCTGTGAAATATGTGAAATGTTAATTACACGTATTCCGCCAAGGGTAAAGCGGATTTCCCCAGCTGACAGCGCCCAAAACCGGCTCAATTTGGATAGTGGTGGTAGCCACAGCCAAAAGGGGAAAGGACGGGAAAAGCCACACGTACACAATTTCACGTCAACTTAGGTGCAAAAAAATACCGTAAATCGTACTCAATAAGGACCTAGCATTGATCACGATTTAGTGCACCGTTCGTCACCGTGATGTCTGTCGCAGTAAGCTGTCGTTGGGTAGACGCTCACCAGATGTCTCTGCCGCAGCCGTACGCCATGCACCGCGCCGAGACGTCACCGTCGCAGTCTGTGACGTGCTCGCGGGACGAGGCGCTGCACCTGTACCGTCAGATGCAGACCATCCGGCGCATGGAGACGGCCGCCGGCAACCTCTACAAGGAGAAGGCCATCCGCGGCTTCTGCCACCTCTACTCGGGCCAGGTGGGACCGCAGAGCGACCCGCGGGGCGCAGAGCTGACGCGCGCTGCCAGATCGGAGGTCGTCCCTCACTGCGGCGCGAGCATGGAGGTTTATCACGTTGGATGATTGTCTTAGTCCTCTTTTTCGAAGTGTACAAGCCACACCATTCGCTGAGCTGACATCCAAGTTGTTAATGACGCATTAATGCTCCCCCGTTTCGTCCCTTTCTGTCTTCCCGCCGTCGGCTAAAGCACCGAGCTCAGTTTGAGGGCACGCGGCGTTGCGGAAAGGGCGTCAATATTCGTGAGCTGCGGAGCGGCGTTCAGCACAACACGGCGTGCTCACGCGGTACGGTCCCCTGAGACGGCAGCCGGCGCGCCGGTGCCGCTTCAGCCGCTGCCGCCGCTGCCGCTGCTGCCGCCGCTGCCGCTGCTGCCCCCGCTGACGCTGCTGCTGCCGTCGGCAGGAGGCCAACTGTGTCGGCATGAAGGCGGCCTTGGTCGACGGCGACTCTGTCATCACGGCCTACCGTTGCCACGGCTGGACGTTCGAGATGGGCGCCACACCGCAGGAGGTGAGGCCGCCGTCGGCAGGCCGGGCTGCTAGCGCGTGCCGCGCTCGAGCCCGGCCACCGACAACCGTCGGCGGCGCGGGGTGGGCGGCGCCGCGCTCTGCCACCGGGGGCGGCAGAGTGGATGTTAGTGGGTCGCGTCTGTGTTGCGAGCATTGTTGAGCGCTTGAAGTGTCGTGATTTGCGTATGTACCAGAAGGAGTAAGGTGTTCACTTTGTAGCATGTTTGGTTTTCTAGCCCACTATTTGCAACTAAAGTGACATTTTCTATCGTTAATTTCCATCGCATCACCGAACTATCTCAGGTTATGATGATCGAATCGCACCGTTCGCCGGGGCCGGTCACAATACACCTGATGCAGTGCGCGTGAGCTGTTTGAGCGTGTACCCCGCCGTTCGCCAGGCGCTGACTGAGCTGACCGGCCGTGTACCCCGCCGTTCGCTAGGTGCTGGCTGAACTGACCGGCCGCGTACCCCGCCGTCCGCCAGGTGCTGGCTGAACTGACCGGCCGTGTACCCCGCCGTTCGTGAGGTGCTGGCTGAACTGACCGGCCGTTGTACCCCGCCGTTCGCCCGGCGGCTGGCTGCACTGACCGGCCGTTGTACCACCGCAGTTCGTTGAAGTGCTGGCTGAACTGACCGGCCGTGTACCCCGCCGTCCGCCAGGTGCTGGCTGAGCTGACCGGCCGCGTACCCCGCCGTCCGCCAGGTGCTGGCTGAACTGACCGGCCGTGTACCCCGCCGTTCGTGAGGTGCTGGCTGAACTGACCGGCCGTGTACCCCGCCGTTCGCCAGGTGCTGGCTGAGCTGACCGGCCGCGTACCCCGCCGTCCGCCAGGTGCTGGCTGAACTGACCGGCCGCGTACCCCGCCGTTCGCCAGACGCTGGCTGAACTGACCGGCCGTGTACCCCGCCGTTCGCTAGGCGCTGGCTGAACTGACCGGCCGTGTACCCCGCCGTCCGCCAGGTGCTGGCTGAGCTGACCGGCCGCGTGTCCGGCTGCGCCAGGGGCAAGGGCGGCTCAATGCACATGTACGCGCCCAACTTCTACGGTGGTAACGGCATTGTAGGAGCTCAGGTACGGCGCGCGCACAAGCCAAAATGCTGTTTTGGGCGCACGGTCGATAGGATTGGGAGTCTCGCGCGTCCGCGCTGGAGGTTAAGCCGGGACTTCGTGTAGTTGAACAGTCATAATTGACGGTTTGGCATTCCCGGTGGTCGTCTTCGCAGTTCACTTCACAGTCACTGGCGCTTCCGCAGCCGCCGCGTAGCTCTCTTGTCAGGCTGATGGTGACGTGGTTTGATGCGAAATCAGACTGCTCCTGACCGTCTTTTCATCACCGCACTCCGTTTAAGCTTAGAACGCCTCGCTGCAGTTCAGCTCTCAGCTCAAGTGGCAGAACGATTCTGCATGTTCCATGACATTCGTGAACTGCCAAAGCGGCGTAAATCATCACATCACCGGCTGCCGTGCATTACTTCGCTCCTCTTGGAGAGGCGTGGAGCGCGGGGCGAGTGGTAGTGCCCACCAGGTCGTCAGGCGGCGCTGCTCCTCCCGCAGTGTCCGATGGGTGCCGGCATCGCGCTGGCGCACAAGTACAACAAGACGGGCAACATCTGCCTGACGCTTTACGGCGACGGCGCCGCCAACCAGGTGAGAGCGCGGACCGGGCCGGCCGTCGGCCGTCGCGGTCACGGCCACGGCTGGGCTCAGGTCAGCGGCCGAGTCAGGTCAGCGGCCGAGATCAGTTGAGGTCAGCGGCCGGGGTCAGGTCAGGTCAGCGGCCACCGCCGCCCGGTGTGGAGCGAGCCGCCGAGAAGCACTGCGATCAGACGCGAGTCGCTCCCTCCCCCCATGGCACGGCGTATTTGCCCACTGTGCCTCAGTTGTCTCGAGAACACATCATGTTCAAATCAGCAGGCGTGTCGTTTGTGCCAGCTCGCCCGTTTGTCGCCCCGCTGCGTGGTCCGCCGCGACTGGTTGAGCCGCTCGTGATGACGGCGGTGCGGTGGGTGCGGCGGAACAGCCTCAGCGTGACGAGATGTGTTTCGCGTGTGTCAGCGTGACGAGGTGTGTCTCGCGTGTGTCAGCGTGACGTGTTATGTGTCGCGTGTGTCAGCGTGACGACGTGTGTCTCGCGTGTGTCAGCGTGACGAGGTGTGTCTCGCGTGTGTCAGCGTGACGAGGTGTGCCTCGCGTGTGTCAGCGTGACGTGTTATGTGTCGCGTGTGTCAGCGTGACGAGGTGTGTCTCGCGTGTGTCAGCGTGACGAGGTGTGCCTCGCGTGTGTCAGCGTGACGTGTTATGTGTCGCGTGTGTCAGCGTGACGTGTTATGTGTCGCGTGTGTCGGCGTGACGAGGTGTGTCTCGCGTATGTCGGCGTGACGAGGTGTGTCTCGCGTGTGCCGGCGTGACGAGGTGTGTGTCGCATGTGTCAGCGTGACGAGGTGTGTGTCGCGTGCGTCACGGTGCCGCCCGGTCTGCCTCTCCTCCTCAGGGCCAGCTGTTCGAGGCTATGAACATGGCGGCGCTCTGGGACCTGCCTGTCATCTTCATCTGCGAGAACAACCACTACGGCATGGGCACGTCCGTGTCGCGCGCCTCGCACAACACCGACTACTACACGCGCGGCGACCTCATCCAGGGCATCAAGGTGCGGCACGGGCCGTGGCGCGCCAGCCGCCCGCCAGGCGGTGGGCTCGTCCGGGCGAGTAACGTCATCTGGGGGCACGTGGGGAGTTCGTCATGGGGTCGTTTGCAGAGGTGTGCACGCCTGGCAGCGGGAGTTGGCAAAGGCGGATCGCTTCGTCGCCCTTCCAGTGCTATCGTTAGGGGTGTTCGTTCGTGCAGAGTTGCCTCTGGTGAACGGGCTCGTTCTGCTCTGGTAAGGTTGTGAGTGACGCTGACGGTTCCGACCACGGAGTCGCGTCGCCACGCCGCGCCCGGACGCCGCCGCCCCTCACCAGCCGGCGCGGCTGTCCCCAGGTGGACGGCATGGACGTGCTGGCGGTGCGCGAGGCCACGCGCTGGGCGGCCGAGCAGTGCCGCGCCGGCAACGGACCCGTCGTCATGGAGACGGAGACTTACAGGTCAGCGGCGGCGGCCGCCCCCCCCCCCCCCCTCCCTCACCAGTGCCGGTGCTGGCGTCGGGAGCCCGGCCGTGGGGCCGCGCGCCTGCGCTGGCCGGCACGGTGAAGCCAAACTGCGCGCGTGCCGTTGAACGGGATCGGACGGGTGGCGACTCAGTGCCCGTCCGCTGTGCGCGGGTGAACGGCCGGCTGCTTGGCAGGAGGGTCTGCCTGCCAGGAGGGTCCGCCCGCTCTGATCATCGCGGTAGTCGCAACCACGGCCGGGAACGAGGACAATAGTGTTCTCGAGGATAGCGACCGAAGCCGCCGGAACTCTGCTGCTATTACTTTATTTCGAATGGCTTGCACGGGTGACTTTAGGCTCAGAGTACCTGCCCAACGTAGCGAGCATGCTGAACCCGCCACCCAAGTCATGCTGTTCAGTTCAATGGACAATTTCGCGTCTCGGCAGGTACTCGGGCCACTCCATGTCGGACCCAGGCACGTCGTACCGCACGCGCGCCGAGATCCAGGAGGTGCGCCAGAACCGCGACCCCATCACCTCGTTCCGGGAGAAGATCCTCACCTCCGAGCTGGTCAGCGCCGACGAGCTGAAGGTCAGGTCAAGGACGCGCTGGTCGGCCCCGAGAGGGGATCTGGGACCGGAGGCGTGCGTGGTGTCGCACTAACACTCGTTGGATTCCAAAATTATGTCCACTGGCATGTGTGAGTTTGTAGTTTACCTTGAAATAAGACCCCGCCACCAAATTACCGGGGGCTGGCCTTCAGCGCTGCAGATGTGGGCGAAACCTGCTGAGAAATGCACTTTAAGGCGCACGAACGGATTGCACGCGTTGACTCAAAGTTGAATGCGTACACTTCTGATTATCTTGTTATTTCTATCACCTGCCGATTGTGAACGTTTTTGTGTTGATTTTCGTCAAACGAATGTAACATTGACCTAGTGTTCGCTGTTGCATTGTGAGGGCGTGCCAACATTTGACCTAGTGTCATGACTGTCTTGCACGCAAGGGATTTCTGATGTCACCTTGTGTCTGCTGACACTTGTGAATGCTGTATTATAGCTATAGTTTATAGTTTATATATAATAGTAGTTTATGATATTACAGTAGTATAGTAATATATAATAGTAGTTATAATAGTTTGAGATGGCAGTTTGCGGACGTCACACCCTCCCACCCTTCCACGGGGAAGGACTTTCAGAGGCCTTCCAGCGCGCCTGCTCAATGTGATGGGGACGAAGGCGTTCCCCGTTGTGCGCGCTTCCGTTCATTCCCGCCGAGAACTCACCGCTGGCTCCGCCTGTGGGACGGGATCCCGGTGTGCCGTGCTTGCCGCCCCGCTGACGCCGCGCCGCCGTCCGCCCCCGCTGACGCCGCGCCGCCCTCCGTCCGTAGGAGATGGACACGGAGATCCGCAAGCAGATCGACGAGGCTGTGCACGCGGCCAAGTCGGACCCCGAGATCGGCATGGAGCACCTGGCGTACGACATCTCCAGCGACGACCTGGGCCACTCGACGGTGCGCGGCGTCTCGCCGTTCGTGCAGCTGCCCCACAAGGCTACGGGCCGCGCCGTCAACCGGAAGTGAACGGGTGGTGCCGGGCGACGCCGGTCGCGGCGGCGGTCCGTAGTCAAAGCTGTCGGTCCGTGTTGTGAGCCGGCCGGTCGGGCGCGAGGAGCGGGCGGGGCGGGCTCGGTCCGCCGGCGTAGTCAGAGCCGACAGGCCGTGTTGCGAGGCGGCCGCCGCGCGCCGGCGGCGACAATACTGCGCAATCTCGCGGCACGATGGACCGCCGTCGGTGCGGTCAAGTTCGCTAGGTTGGGTGTGGTGCGTACGTTGTTACTTGGTTTTATCGGGTGTCTGTGCGGTTTTCGTAACGGATCAGTGGTGCCATTAAATTGACTCGCTATGGTGGTTTGCTGCGTGGTGGCCGGCCGGCGAGGAGTCGACGCTGCTGCCAGTGACAAGCCGGCGTCCCCCTGTCTGGTTCCGCCGGGGCCGTGGACCGCTGAGGGAACCAGCCACAACACTGAGCACCGCGGCGCAGGGTAACCTCATACAGAGCACGAAATGCTGGAAGGCGCTAAGCCGAAGGTACTAAACCTGACCACGTAGCTTTCAGCTGGCACGTCGGGCGTGCGCCGGGTCTACATTGGTACTAAACAAGCGTTTGCACACTTGCTTCGCCGCGCTAAGTTGAAAAGGCATAATTTTGAATTCTCTGTCTTTTCCTGGTTGATGTGCGGTTCTAGGTGCTGCGGTGACGTGAAAACGTGAAAGACAGGCAGAAATGGCCAAAATAATCCCGTTAGGGCGCGCACGCGTGACATACGGTACGTGTGACGCAACAAATGGTGTCACGTGATTGCCCGTTCGATTCCCTATTAACGGATGCCACTCGGTTCGTGTTATGAGTGCCGAGATGTGGCACAAAACACGCAAATCCGTGGAAGGGGGCAAAGCCGTCTCTGCGCGTGGCACGTGATACGTGCGACCGTTTGTCTCATGTTTTCGTGCCGTTCGTGCCACTCCCGGTTCGCTCCGACCCGTCGCTGTCGAGATATCGGCGCGAGATGGCATAATCTGTCGGAGGCAGTGAAAGAGTGCTGCATGTCACGTGTTAAGCTGCCGGGAGAGGGACAAAACCGTTCCATCACGGCATAGAGTAGCTATCTTGCAACCCATTTACCTAGGCTCATTTGCGAGCAGATGATCACAAAATATGATAACAAAACGGTGGTGGAGATACAATGCATTGGCAAACACGCTGATGCAGTTTTCAACACTGGATTGCGAGCAGTTTTGACAGTAGAGGCCTGTATTCGGAGCCGACTTTCAAAACTACGCCGCTTGTAACTTGCGGCGCAACCGTGCGTGACATAAACTCTGGAGTGCCGCTGAAATTGTGGCCTCAGCAATTGTGAATGTTAGGGAACCCCATCATGCCTCTACTCACACTGGGCGCCGAGATGTGACTCAAGGCGTAGAAACCTGTCGAAAGCGGTCACTTTCGTCGTTCCAACGCGTGTGCACGCGCCACGCGCGTCGCAACACCACAAACTTACCGCCACCCGATGACCCATGGGATCGTCTATGTAGTTGTGCTACTTTCGTGTCGTTGCGTGTCGTTTGCTATCAAGATATGGCTCCAGGAGTACAAGCGTGTCGGGCCGTCGGTCAGTGGTCGTGAAACTTGCGTCGTCGTTATGGGGATTTTGCGCCTTTTTGCGCTGACTACGCGCTCATTTTTAAGAAATGCAGAGCTATTTACAGACGCACAATATTGTTTCTTTATTATAAAAGTAGATTCACTAGACTGCTGATGACGAATACCCCAGCTCCAGCAGAAGGGCCAGTTCCAGTAATAAGGGGGCGCCAGCTCGTTCGCTCACCTGGTGTACCATGGCCTAGTGTTTCCAGTAGCACTCGATACACTGGACCGCTGATGGCGGCGTGGCGGCATCAAAATGTGCACGCAGACTTGCGGCTATCGAGGCAGAGACGGCAGCGCGGATACTCGGGCGCGCGGTGTGCAGAACCGTAACAATGAGCAGCCGGCGGCTGCCGGGAATTTCAAGTTGCAAGGACAACAGATGTGACAGGCGAAACGATCACAGGTTGTATAACAAAATGCTTGTTCTCTCGGATGTTTTAGGTACGTTAGCCATACGTGAGTTTAATAATCACTGCGGTTTTTATGTGTATTCTTAGCCTATACGTGAGTTTGAGAAGCATTTCAGTTTTTGTGTATTTCCTTCTATAAATGCCGCATGCGGAGAAAATATGTGCGACTGCAGACACCGTTACCCTATTACCCTGGTTGAGCAGTACACGCGGGCCGGGCGGACAGAGTGCTACCCGCGCGAAGACGGGAAGGGTGCCCCGCCGGCTCGCAGCAGTGCTTGGTAATCGTCAATGGGCTGACCTCAGATCAGACATGGGCGCACCCAAATGGCGGGAGAGGTGCGCACGATTACAGAAATGGCAGGCAAAATAGAAACCCGTGCCACGCTCCGCGTCGCCCATCACGCCACCTGGTCATCATTGATCGAATGCAGCACAATAACTTCGCTTGAAGCGTTCCTTTCGCACACGCCAAGCTCCCGGCTATTCTCTGCGGGTGGGGCCTCGTCGTCCTCCGCTGTCGACCCGGCCGGCCCCGCCATATCCTCGTCAGAGCCCGGCAGTCCTTCTGCCTCTGAGGGTCCGTCCGTGTCTTCAGAGCTGTCGCGGTCCCGTGCCGCGTCCAGCGCCGACGCCGGCGCCGGCTCCTGCTCCTCCTCGTCCTCGTCATCGGTGACCTCAGACTCCTCTGCCTCCTCATCGTCCTCCCCCTCCTCCTCGTCATCGTCCTGGTCCTCCTCGCCGCTGGCGCCGCCACCGGCCGCGACGCGCCGCTTCCGTCGTTCGGCCGCTGCGCTCGCCTGTCGCTCCACAAACTCGCTGAAGACGTCATCGAGCCGACGCCGGCCGCGCTGTGCGTTCTCTGCCAGTCGGCTGCTGACGCTCGCGTCACCCTCGGCCGGGTCCCGGGAACGCCACTGGTCGGCGCCGCACAGCGCGTCCATCGACTCGGCGAGCGCGGCGCGCCGCCGCCGCTGCAGCTGCCTGCCCAGCGTCAGGAACACGTCCTTGGCCTGGTCGTGTATGGCCCCCGGCCCCATCAGCAGCCGATGGTGCCGGTTCGCCGTCTCGATCTGGCTCAGCACGTCCTTGAAGTCGGGGAACTCGCGAGAGCGGTTGACGAACTTCTCGATGCGCCGGTTAATCTCCGGGTAGCGCGTGCCCTGGAAACGGATGCGGGGCGCGCCGAGCCGCTCCGTCTCCTCCTCGGCGCCCACCAGCCGGCAGTAGCGGCGGTACACCTGCACGTATCGGCGCTTGAGTCGAGCGCCCACCATGTAGGCCGAATCGGCGCCGTCGTCCCAGTCGACCTCGCACGCCTCCCGGCGGCCGATCTCGCGCTCCAGCCGGCGCAGCGTCTTCTCCAACTTGGCCACGTGGCGTCGGTGGCGCCGCGCCTCCTTCTGCTGCCGGTCCTCCTCCTCGGCCGCGTCGGCGGCCGGCGGCAGCGGCGGCGGCAACGCCCGCTCCGAACGCACTGGCACCACCGGCTTTTGCGACGCCTGCGCCGCCGCCGCCGGGGCGGAACGCGAGAGAGCTGACGCCGCCACCAGCTTGATCTGATCCAACTGCTCGAAGAAGCCGCGCAGCAGGGTGAAGCAGGAGCGCGGCTCGGCGCGCAGCTGCGCCGCGCACTGCTCAGCGACGCCCAGTATGTGTCGCCAGCGGCCCGAGTGTGGCGGGCTGAGTGCCAGCACGGCCGCGTATTTACGCTGCAGCCGCTGCACGATCCGCTCCTCGCCGACGGCCAGCAGCGGCCGCAGCAGCGCGCACAGCTCGTCCAGGACGCGCTGGCACGGGTCCGCCTCGCCGGCCGCCGCGCCGTCGCCGCCGGTGCCGGCCGGCGACGGTCGGATGCGCTTCGCACTTGGCGCTGCGTCCGCCTCGCCGGCCGCCGCCGGCCACGCGTCCAGTCCGGGGCTCAGACGGTGTCGTTCCCTGCCGCCCACCCTGCTCGGGCTCAGCGACGGCTCCAGCCGGCGCTTGACACGCCCATGTCGCCCGTTGACGGCCGCCCCCGCCAGGCCGGCCGCTTCCTCGCTCGAATCGTTGAGCTCGATGACGTCGTCGTCGTCCATCGTCCGCTGCGAGACGCGCTTGCAAGGCAGGGGGCCGCCGTTCCGCCGCCCCGGAGACCGGTCTGCGGGCGGATCGGCCGGGGGTCCAGTGTGGCCATTCTCAGCTCCATCCCGCCCAGAGAGCAGCTGAGAACTGAGCGGCTTGCAGACTGCTGGCGGGCTGAAGTCATCATCGCTCAGGGTGATCACATCAGTCATTGTGGGCCAGAAAATCTGTAACCAATCGCAATGCCACCAGCTCCTGAAATCCAAAAGCAAGATATTAGGAACAGCATGTTTAGCAATGTGTTGCATGACTTGGATTGTGTACCTGGTTCAGTGTGACAATACTTGGCCAAATAGGTAGCAGGGGTGTCATACTTTGCTGTGCTGTCATACCCCACCTCAGGGTTCAGTGCCCATTAGCTTCAACAGCAGGTCAACAGCCAACAAAATGTGCACACAAGGTGGCCTGGAAGCTGGAATTCCTGGATCTACAGTTCATTTTAACATAGTACCCACCAAACTACAATAATTTTGGAATGCTGAACTGGACTATAACCAGCCCTAGCCTGAGCACACAAGAAAACACGTGGGGTCTTTACTCCAATGCTTGGTGTCAATCAGCATTCACTTATGTTCCTTGAGTTGCTTTCACAAAGCTATTTTCATAATATTGACTACATTTTTTGCTGTAGTTCGTTTTACCCATATAATAAAGCGTCAAAGTATGATCCCGTACATAAAATGGTTACTGAATCCCAAACCAGACCCCTTTGCAACAAGGTAACCTTGCTGGCTTAAAGGTCCCATTAAGGTTGTATGTGACCATATCCTGGGTGAAATCCTGGCTATGCCACTAATACCTCAAAGATAGTTGATTGTTCAATAATCTGGATCTATTGTTTTTATCACATTTGCTCAGACAGTATTCATGGTTCACTACCCATCAGATTATTACAGTAATAAAGATTACATAATTTGTACATGAATGCAACATTGTCACTCCCAGACATGCTGGAGGGGAACATTCAATCTTACAATGTGCATTGAAATGTGTGGGAACTAATGGTGGCAACTATCAAATTGAGGCAAAAGTGGAAAGATTACAAATGTTTGATAATATGACACACAATACAATATATTTGTCACACTGGTGGTACCAAAATATATTTTGTGTCAAATATTTTGAGCTGTACAATGCCAACAAATCCTGCAAATACCACTAGTATTCACTTGTCCTAATAGCAGAATATAGGAAAATATTACCACATGGTATTTACCTAGGATATGAACATGTAAGGAGTCATTTCCAGCTATTGTTAGGCACAAACCTAATAGGACAGAAGTCCAACTATGAATGATACCTGCCTGACATACATCCCAGGTTGCAGCTTATGCAGTGCCTGCAATTATGAGCACTGAGTGATGATAAGTGCTACAGGCATTGCCATTTAGCACCAGAGGAGAAAATTGTGTCAGGGTGTACTTTCCTACCTGACATTAGAAAAAAATCATTGTATACCATTTGTCATGTTTAAGGCAGGACATATCATAAATAATCACAAAACAGGTAAGAGAGCTGCCAATGCAAATAAAAGCACCAACATTTAACTTTGATAATGGCCATGGCCTTAGTTTTGCAGACAATGCCAAAACAAGAAATCATAAAATGGAAACATTAACTAAAGTGCAAGAGCTTTTCACAGATAGCTCTTGACAGTGGTGGACTTTTACCAGACTTGTGAGAAATATAATTCTTTGAGTGGATATTACAGGCATTTTAAGCAGCAT